CTATTTTCAAATCTTTCTATTCACCAGACCAACAGCAGGAATATGGAATGTGAGAAGCATGCATCAAGGAAAGTCAGACATAAGAAATAGAATACATAAGCACTGTGATACATGGGAATGAATGAGTGGGCTAAAATAAACAAGAATGAGATGTTTGAAGTCAGATAATTACAAAGTGTTTAGGCTTAAAGGAAGAAAGCATGATTGTTGAATGAAGGAACATCAACAATCTAAGATAGGCAGATAAAACCATACTACTGCAGAAATGGAATAACTCACGAACTTCAAGAAAGTGCAAGTTTACAGTCGAACATTAAGTAAAATTCATATAACTTTAAAGTAAATACTTCTAGATTTTGCGTACTTTGACTATCACTCAGAATAGAGAGTACAGTCAAGAAATCAGAAGCAGACTAAGAGGTATAAGAGCAGCTATGAGGTAACCAAACAAGATCGTGAAGTATCAAGAAACATCACTGAATACTAAAGTTATGATTGTCCATTGCATCATATTTCTCATTTCACTGTATGGGTGAAAAAACTGTGAATTACTAAAAAGACAAATCAATGAGTCCTAAAGCCAATCAAGACTAGAAACCAAGATGAATAAACTGAGACTGATGTACTTTGGTCATATTATTTGAAGACATGACTCACTAGAAAAACAATGATGTGAGGTTGGAGGCAGCAGGAAAAGAGTAAGACTGCATTCCAGAAGGATGGGCTCAATCAGAGAAGAAACGGCACCCTAACTTAAAGTTAACTTGAGAGTAGTAAACAACAACAGCATTCTCATCACATTCACTTCACACACTATTCACAAGCTTGTTCTCTATCTTATTTTTGCTTCTCATTTAAACCTGACAGATAAAAGATGAAGAAAAATGACAACACCCAAAACCTAGCACATAGCAGTCTGCACATAAATGTGGATCTTAATGCAATGTTTCCCAAACTCTGGTCTTCCAGGCGTTTGGACTTCAGCTCCCAGAACCCCTGAGTATCAGCCAAGGGAGCTGAAGTCAGAAATACCACACCTAGAAGTCTTGCTGATTAACGACTGCAAAGGCTGAAAAAGGCTTAGGAAAACCTCCCCATAACAGACACCCCATCCCAAAAAGCAGTCCATGCTCAGATGAAAACACAAGAACACTCTTCTCTATGATATAACTTCACCTTCTACATCCCAAAACAGCCCTCTTTGGCTGCTCCTACCCAGAAATTAGTATTCAGAGATACACTGCCCCTGAACATGGAAATCTTAATCTTAGCTGTAACCCATGCAACAACTAGCCTCCTCCTCCGTTTGGAAAATGTTCTAACCTCAAAGCTGAGACTCGAATTGTTTGTGCCCATTCCTGATCTGTTGGCTGAAGGTTGTGCTGTGGCCGCCTCCTCCTCCTCCTCGGATTGAGGAAATATCTACCTTGGCACATTCGCCCTGGAGAACTTGGGGTGGTTTTGGGGTTAATTGCATGGAGAAGCATTCCTGGCTCCATGGAGGAGCTGAATCACATCCGATCCTGAGCACAAACACCTCAGATCCTGGGGGAAGTGGGTTAAGGTGGCAGACAGGTGAGGATGGAGCTCATTGAGGACAGCTTCTCAAACCACACAAGTCCTTTTGACAGACTGCACCAACCATGGCTTGAAAAGATTCTAAGAAGCAAACCCTGGTTTTGCTATTTTATATAAGGGACAACATTTTATCACATCATTATATATAAACTTGCTTAGGTTATCTGGCGATGCCCAGGTTAGGTAATTTGTAACCTACTGTATTAGAAAAAGTCAGTATTTGCTTTTATGATGAATGCACCTATTAGAGTGTACACACACAGTAGAATCTCACTTACCCAACCTTAGCTCATCCAACCTTTTGTATTATCTAACGCAGTCTGCCTCCTGCCCGGATCCACAACTGTTTCAATACATTGCAATGCTTTGGTGCTAACTTCGTAAATACAGTAATTACTACATAACGCTAACATGTATTGATTTGTTGTAAAACATGATGTTTTGGTGCTTAATTTGTAAAATTACAACGTAATTTGACATTTAATAGGCTTTTCCTTAATCCCTCATTATCCAACATTTTCACTTATCCAACGTTCAGACGGCCCATTTATGTTGGATAATAGAGACTCTACTATATATATAGAACTTGATCATCCATGGATTTTGTTATCTATACCAAGGTCCCACTAGCATCATGGAGCAGAATGAGGGGTCCTGGGTTCAAATCTAAACTTGCAACTGTACAGAAAGTGGCTTGGAGCAGTCACCTTGGGGTGATCTACCTTGCAGGGTTGTTGGGAAAATAACGATAACAACCCCAAATTCCTGGGGATGGAACTTACATCACAAACATTTAATGTAATGTACAATATAAAACTTTTTTTGTTCAGACAGGCTTTTAAAGGAGGAGGATTTTAAGATCAAGTCAGTGGGTATTGCGGTTTTAGCTCTGAATACATTTTAAATCAGTTTCAAAGATTTTTTACTGTTTGTTTTAATACAATTGATATTCAATTCTATTTTAAGGTTTGAATGTTTTTAGGTTTAAAATTATATTGCATTGGTAAGCCGCCTTGACTGTCAGTATAAAAAAAAAACTGTATCTGCCTTCTAATGGAAGGGCAATGTGAAGGAGACCATTCTGACATCTCTGGGGAGTTCCACACATAGGGAAAATGGGATATTGTAGCTAAAGGTACTGTACCTTGATTTACAAAATATTCATTACAATTTTTACAAAATATTATCTATGTATTGGTCGCCTCTTTCTACACAGACACATAATTATACCCTCAAATATATTTAAATATATTCTGAGTTGCTTATTTCCTCCAACATATGGCCACTTTTGGGACACCCTGTAGAAAAGCTCCAGCAGTTATTTGCTGTGATGATTATCTGCAGAACCTGCCTGGGTCAGAATCTGCTATCTTGGGATTCTGAGTATTATAAGTCCCAAAAATATGACTTACCCAAGCTATGTACATCCCTCATTTTTGTAATACAGACAGTCTCCAAGTTACAGACAAGAAAGGTTCTGTATGTCTACTCTTAAGTGGAATGTATATGTAAGCTGGAACAGAGACATTTAAAAAGTGTAATTCCTGACAGATAGAGAGATAGATAGACAGACAAGACAGGATAGCATACATAAGATAGGATAAATATGATGGGATGACTCCAAATAGATACAAAGATAGGATAGGTAGACTGGATGGATGGATAGATAGGATACATAAGATTGGTAGATTTGACAGATAGACAGCATAAGGATTACTATCTGTGCCCTTGTTCAGAAGATCCCCTCTCACTTTCTGTCCCTGTGATCATTGGATTTTGAGAAATGTGGCTTGTTGTGGCAACAAAGGTTGGGGCAAGTTTCAGTGGCGGGACCTTTTCTCGGGGATAACTCTTTCAGGTATGAATTCCCCTCTCATTTCCTAGGGTCTCCTATTCTTAACTAGGATTCTGGTGCCTGTAATCCCAAAATATGACTTCTCCAAGCTACAAACACCCCTCATTTGTGTAGGACCTTTCTCTGTTTCAAAATTCCAGCCAGTATAGAAGCCACAACCTGTGCATTCGGACCTGTCACTGTGGTGTCATGGTGAGAGCGCTGGAGGTTCAAAGTCCTCCCTGAGCTCTGGAACAAATTTGCTGTAGTATAGCACGTGTGTGTGTATTATAGCCTTGTCTATGTATGTATGTGTGTGTATAGCCAGAGTGCTGATACATTATAGGCCTGTATGTGTGCATTATAGCCCTGTATATATAGAGAGAGGTTTTTAAAAAATTAAATAAAATTTTATTTTAAAATTGTAATACATCCACGATAAACATTACAAATATATACACATACATACATAGACATCCCACCACTCACAATACAATTACCTCTCAGCACACCCCCAGTGTGACCCACCACCTTGGTTCCCAACACTGATCTACACAGAGTTTATACATAATTTTATTTAACCCTCTGTACTTCTAAATCAATAAATTCCTCTTGTTTTTATTTCTTAAATTCTCCTGTCAGGAGTGTTGATATATATATTACAGGCTTCTGTGTGAGTGTATATTATACCCCTGTATATATATATATATATATATATAGAGAGAGAGAGAGAGAGAGAGAGCGCTGATATATATTATAGGCCTGTGTGTGTGTTGTGTTTGTGTAGTATTAGTTATGGGGAGGAGACTGTGTGTGTGTAGAGAGAAAAAGTATAGCCCTGTATGTGTGTGTATACTTATATAGTTTACATATATAGTATAGTGTGGGAAGTACTACTTATTGTATAGACTGGGTTATAGTATTAGTTATGGGGAGGAGACCATATAGACAGAGGTGTATCTATAGCAGTCATGGGCCAACTTGGGCCCTCCAGGTGTTTTGGACTTCAACTCCCACCATTCCTAACATGGGCAAACTTCTGCCCTCCAAGTGTTTTGGACTGCAACTCCCACAATTCCTATCAGCCTATTGGCTTTTAAGAATTGTGGGGGCTGCAGTCCAAAACACCTGGAGGGGGGCCGCAGCGTGTATAGTATAGTGTGGGATGTATAAAATCTAGTGCGGGGTGTGTGTAACATAGTGTGTGTGTATAGTACACACTTGGGGTGTCTATATTATATAGTGTGTACAGCAGGCATGGGCAAACTTGGGCCCTCCAGGTGTTTTGGACTTCAACTCCCATAATTCCTAACAGCAGCCCAAGTTCTGATGCCTGGTATAGAGTGTGTATAGCATAGCGTAGGGTGTGTATTATCTAGTGTGGGATGTCTATAATCTCGTGCGGAGTATCTATAGTATAGTGTGTATAGCAGTGTGGAGTGTGTGTAGCATAGTGTGGGGTGTCTCTACTCTAGTGTGGTCTGTCTATAATATAGTGTGTGTAGCATAGTGTGGGGTGTCTATACTGTAGTGCGGGGGGGGGGGGGGGGGGGGGGGTGTGGAACTGTGTGGAGTCTGGTCTACTCACGATGGCCCTCCCATAGCAGGCGGCGGCCTCGGGGTACTTGCGGCCCACGAAGAGGCGGTTCCCCTGCTCCTTGTACTCCTGGGCGGATCGGCTCTTCTCGGGGCTGTGGCCCCCTCCCACTCCGCCGCCTCCGCCGGGGCCTAAGCCCAAGCCGCCCACCAGGCCGCCTCCGCCTCCTCCTCCGCCGCCCAGTCCCAGCCCGGGCCCGGCCAGCCCCGCGCCTTCCTTCTCTTTGTCCTTGTCTTTCTCCTTGTCCTTGTCCTCCTTGCCCTTCATGGCGCCGCCCAGGCAGAAGCAGCAACAGCCGGCCTTGCTGCCGCCCTCCCGCCCGGAGGACCGCTCGCCCCGGCCTCGCCTCGCCGCCACAGCCCGGAAAAGAGGCAGGCCTCCACGCCCGCACTAGGCCCGGCCTCCTTCAGAAAACACCTCGAGCCGCCGTCGCCTCATCACGTTGGGGCTTCCGCGCGCGCAGCACTCTGGGAAATGTAGTTCAGGGCGGAGCCTTGTGGAAATTCTCCGCCGCAGGGGCCCTCGCCTCCCCAAACTACATTTCCCACGATGCAGCTCGCGCCAGAAGAAGGGCTGCCCGCGTTAAAGCCTGAATGGGATGAGGATTGTGTTTGGCTTTTTGAGGCCTAGCCTTCCTGATGTATGCATTGCACGCCGTTTAAATGGATGCGGCTCTTTTATTATTGTTGTTGATGTTGTTGTTTATATCCCGCTTTTTCTCTCCACAAGGAGACTCAAAGCGGCTATGTGACTATTATTATGACTTCTCTCTAGCCTTTATTATTATTACTATTATTATTATGTTTATTTATAACTTGCCTTTTCTCTCCGCAAGGAGACTCAAAGTAGCTGTGTATCCATTATTATTATATCACTTCTCCCTATCCATTATTATTATGTATTTAAACCTCCCCTTTTTCTCTCCACAAGGAGACTCAAAGCGACTATGCATCTATTATTATTATTATTACTTCTCTATCCTTTATTTTTGTTATTATTATTATTATTATGTTTATTTATAATCCGCTTTTTCTCTCCACAAGGAGACTCAAAGCGGCAATATCCCATATGACTTGTCTCTAGGCATTATTATTATTATTATGTCTATACCCCACTTCTTAGAGCCCCCGATGGTGCAGTGGGTTAAACCCCTGTGCCGGCAGGACTGAAGACCGACAGGTCGCAGGTTCGAATCCAGGGAGAGGCGGATGAGCTCCCTCTATCAGCTCCAGCTCCTCATGCGGGGACATGAGAGAAGCCTCCCACAAGGATGATAAAAAAAAAACCAAAACATCAAATCATCCGGGTGTCCCCTGGGCAACGTCCTTGCAGACGGCCAATTCTCTCACACCAGGAGTCACTCCTGACACGACAAAAAAAACCCAAAAAAAACAACCCACTTCTTCTCTCCAAAAGGAGACTCAAAGTGGCTATATATCTATTATTATTATTATTATTATTATTATTATTTATACCCCACTTTTTCGCTCCACGGGGACACTCAAAGCAGCTATGTATTTATAATTATTATTATTAGAGTGGATTATTATTAGTATTGTTATGTTCATTTATTTCTCTCCACAAGCAGATCCATTGCTCTCAGCGGTCAAGGGATGGCACTTAAAGGAGGGCTTTTCAGCTGCAGCGACCCTGTCTTCTGGAGAGCGGTTCAAGGCCTCTATCAGGACGCATTGAGCGCCAAAGCCAGCAAGCGGAAGGAACTCATCGCCTTGGATCAATGGTAAACTCCTCCGCCGTGTTTGGTTCATCTGGAGGGGATGCATCTGTACTGTGGAATGAATGCAGTTTTGAAGAGACATAGGTTGGAATAATAGCGTTCTGTGATATTTGCAAATGATAACTGCTTAACAAGCATACTTAACAATAATTGCATAACATATTAATCACTGCTTTGATTTGCAGCAACACTGTATTGATAATAGTCTATACAGCAACTTGATAGTGATAACTGTGCTGTGCCTCACCTGAAAGTTAGTTTTAGTTAGCTCTAACAGCCTTCAAGAAGGGGCAGCTTGACTCAGCATGGAACTTCACCAAGAACACATTTAACTAGTTGTTTTGCTAAGGCTTCAAATCTTAAGCACAGGGTAATGTAGTAAGGAGGAAAAACCGGTTGACACAACAAGGCCATAAATATTTTCATAAGCAATGGGAACAAATGTGGAGGCTAATTAGTTAGCACTGACATAGTGGTTCCCAATACACACGTTCCAGCAATAGAAGATGACATTATGGCTTTATGGTGCATGTTCACAGAAAGGGAAACGTTTCTACAAGAAACGAAAGTGAAATTGTCTATAAGGAGTGGGTGGTGCTTCCATTTGGTTGTAAAGCTCACAAATAAACTGATCAAATAAACTCACTACAATGGAGATCTTCTGTGGCTAGTGACTATTTTGGGACTTAGATGCTAGAGATAATTACTGCTGGGAAACAGGATCTGGGTAATTTCAGTTTGATGCCACTTTAACTGCTGTAGGCTCCAGGCAATGGGATCCAGCCCTCTTTGGCAAAGGAAACAAAGGAAGCTGCCAAACTATAAACCCTGGGATCCCATCGCCTTGAGCCACGGCAAATAAAGAGATAACACTACATTCATTCTACAGCAGGCCTGGGCCAACTTCAGCCCTCCCTCCAGGTGTTTTAGACTTCAATTCCCACAATTTCTAACAGGACCAGCTGTTAGGAATTATGGGAGTTGAAGTCCAAAACACCTGGAGGGAAGGCCAAAGTTCGCACAGGCCTGCTGTAGAATGAATGTAAAATTTATAATGAAGATTCCATTTCAAAAATGATTTTAAAAAAATAAAGAGGGAGGATTTTTCTCTAAAATGCCACCTTTCAACTCCCTTCCCTTACCTATGTAGGTATCAGGAGGAGCTCCCGATTGCTGTGGCAAAGCGGGTGAAGAAATACTTAAGAAAAGCGGAGGTGGTGAAGCTGATGGAGTGGAAACTTTGTGTAAGCAGTATCCCACCCAAAGTCTTTAGGCACTGCACCCGGTGTGCTGATCACCACTGGGACCACCTTGACTGGCTTGTGCCAGAGTCTTTGCATGTCTATCTTTAAATCTCATGTCGTGTAAGATTTTCCAGTTGCTTCTTGTCAATTTTGCTGTCACCTGGGATTGCAACATCAATGATCCATACTTTGTTCTTTTCCATTATTGTGAGGTCAGGAGTATCATGCTCCAAAACCGTCAGTCTGAATTCAGAAATCCCAGAGTATGATGTGTTTATTTTTTTGTAACTTATTATTATGTTTATGTTTATTTATACCCAGCTTTCTCTCCAACAAGGAGACACAAAGCAGAGTTGAGGTCCAAAAGGCTACTTTTTCAAAGCTCTGTTAAGAAAGCTTTGCTATGTAGTTATTAGAATGCTGGACTGAAGCTCAGGAGACCCTGGCTCAATTCTGTTAGACGTTATCTTGAGCTCATTGGAAGAAATGTGGTATGTAAAAATCAGTAAGATAAATAAATAAACAACCTCACTGGGAATAACAGTGGGGTTTTCTCATTCAGAGAGGGAAATTTCGACCTCGGCTGCAGCAACTGGTGGCAACGAACTCCAATGAAATGGTGGAGGAATGTACCACAAAGGCCTTCCAACTCCTTCCTGACGTATCAAGGGCAGTGCAAGAACTCTGCAAGCTGAAGGCTGTGGGACCAGCCACAGCTTCAGGTAGGAAATTAAGAGGATACTTGTAACTGTATACATTTAATAATTACTTTTTCCTCCCAAGGTTTTGCTTTTCCTTTTGCTTATGGCTTCACCATAATAGTATTTGCCATGGCTAATAGAGTGTACCACCAGAAATTGCTGAGCTAGCAAGTAAAGGTTAATACCCAGCGTATCTTGTTCTTCCTGGAGTGGAGGAATGCAGTGGTTTCCTAGTAGAATAGTTTGCTCACTCAGAAGAAACACTGGGGCTGATAGAGAACCAGAACATGAGCCCAAAATGCATAGCTCGATCAGAAAGTACATCAGTACACTGTCTATACATAAAGACTCCACAAAATATGTATATTAAGAGCGTATGAAAAACGGGTTTGGGGTTCACGTTCCTTACAGTGAAGTCGCACCCTTGATTCAGTTTTCCTGAAGACACGGGAAAGAAATTCTTCTTCGTTATCCCTGGAAGAATATGGCCAATGATCACCTGTGTATTCACACTTTATGCTTACAAAAAGCCACCTTGGAGCCCATCCTGAGAGGCAGGCAGTCCATACATCAGGCAAGGACTAACTCCCTCCAGGCGTGTTGGACTTCAACTCCCACAATTCCTAATAGCCAGTAGGCTGTTAGGAATTGTGAAGTCCAAAACACATGGAGGGAGGGCCGAAGTTGGCCCCCGCCTGCTATACATCAATAAATTGCAACTGTGTGTTGCAGCTGTGAAATACTCTTTCTTGTATTGATCAATTGATAGATTAATAATAGATTAATCACTCAACACATGATGGAATACTTTGATATTTCCATCCTTTTCATTTTATTCTTATTACAGTCCTGGGAGATAGGCCTTCCTGGGAAAGGGAAGGAAGGCAAGATAGAGGAAGAATATGCCTGTGACCAGCCCCATAGTCACCCATTGATTTTCATAGGTTAGAGATACATAGATGCAGCTGGTGTTCAATAAGGCCCAGCAGAGCTTGAATATGTAACTTTTCTGTTTCCAGAACCCCCAGGCAGCTTGAGATGCAGTGCCTAGCACTAACTTTTTCAAAATTATAATAATAATTAAAATATATTAAAATAATAATAATAATAATAATTAAAAATTGTGAAATAAAACAGAACACCATTAAAGTATATGTAACAAATATAAAAAGGTAAAGGTTTCCCCTTGACATTAAGTCTAGTTGTGTCCAACTCTGCAGGGTGGTGCTCATTTCCATTTCTAAGCCAAAGAGCCGGCGTTGTCTGTAAACTCCTCCTAGATCATGTGGCCAGCATGACTGCATGGAGTGCCATAACTTTCCCTCCAAAGCAGTACCTATTGATCTACTCACATTTCACTTCACTTCACTTTATTTCTTAATTAGTCGCTCTCCACCAAGGTGCTCCAAGCGACTTACATTCTAAAATAGCATTTACACAATATAAAAACATTCAACATAAAAACATTCAACAATGACTATTTGACAAATTAGATCTGATTACTTAAATGCACAACCAAACAGCCAATCTTCTGCTCTTGAGTGCCTTTACAAAAGGCTGCAACTCCAACATTGCTCTAATGTATGGAGGCAATGAGTTCCACAGAATTGGAGCATAGGTCGAAAAAGCTCTACGCCTTGTAGCTTCCAGGTGTACCTCCCTAGGGCCCAATATGTATAGGAGATTTTCCTGGGTGGATCGAGGTGACTACTGATGGAGAAAAGGAATGAGGCAGTCCTTATGATATAAAGGTCCTTGGCCATCTTGAGCTCTAAATGTCAGGATCAGTATCTTGTAAGAGATCCGATGTTCTATTGGTAGCCAATGCAGTTGTTGCAGAATCGGTGTAATATGGGATCTTATAGATGATCTCGCTAGCAGCCTGGCTGCTGCATTTTGGACCATCCGAATCTTCTGGGTTGTTGACTTCGGAAGGCCGGCATATAAGGCGTTGCAATAGTCCAGCCTCGTGGTGACTGTTGCGTGGATTACTGTTGCCAATGCTTCTACCGAAAGGTAGGATGCCAATTTCCTTGCCTGGCGAAGATGAAAAAAGGCCTGCTTACTTATGGCAGTGATCTGGGCCTCCATCGTCAGCGATGAGTCCAACACAACCCCAAGGCTTTTAACAGTGGCAGACGGAACCAGAGCTTCCCCATCGAAATCAGGCAGAGACTGGGTTAATTCTGGCGGCTGGCCGGGCCAGAGTATCTCAGTTTTTGCAGGATTGACTTTTAGTCTGCTTGCTCGTAGCCAACTCATCACTGCTTCCAAACACAGCCTAAAGTTCTCAGGAATCGCGGTTGTTCCAGGTTCGAGACGCAAGAGTAGCTGGGTATCATCTGCATACTGGTAGCACTCTATGCCAAAGCTCCGCACCAGTCCAGCAAGTGGCCGGACGTAGATGTTAAATAACAGGGCGAGAGGATAGCACCCTGGGGAACTCCACAGCAAAGGCAGGAGCTCTCAGAGCTTTGGCCTAACCACTCCACCCTCTGTCTCCGGTCCCGGAGGAACGAACTGAACCATTTCAGGGCTAAACCTCGTACACCAGACATAGCCAATCGATGAATCAGCAAGTCATGGTCCATGGTATTGAATGAAGCTGTGAGGTCCAAGAGTACCAATAGCGCTGATCTGCCTCGGTCTAACTGACGATGAATTTCGTCAGTAATAGCTACCAAGACAGTCTCTGTCCCATGACCTGAACGAAAGCCTGATTGAAAGGGGTCCAAACCCGCAGTCTCATCTAAGAATTGCTGTAGCTGCCCCGCCACTGTCCGTTCGATCACTTTGCCCAAAAATGGAAGGTTTGAAACTGGGCGATAGTTACTAGGTATGGCGGCATCTAGGCTTGGTTTTTTCAAGAGAGGGTGGACCACTGCTTCTTTAAGGCAATCTGGAAAAATTCCTTGCTCCAAGGAGCTGTTGATGATGCTCCTTAAGGGATCTCGTAGTCCCTCCCAGCACTCCTTAACCAACCAGGAGGGGCAAGGATCGAGGGAGCAGGTGGTTGGTCTTGCGGCAGCTGGAGTCTTTTCCAGGTCTTCCATTTCTAATGGCACAAAATGTTCTAGAAGTTGACCACTAGATGGCCAGAAGGCCTCTAGTTCCCTCGATGTGTCCTCTGTGGGAGGTAGCCCTTCGCGGAGCAGATTCTGGAAGGTCTCTGCTGTAATATCTTGACTAGCCACATCTTTGGGCGGATGGGTTGGATTTGTGATGTTACAAACAATTTTAAATATTTGAGCAGGTCGAGATCTGGTGGATGCTATCAATGAGGAATTATATTCTTTTTTGGCCTCTCTGGTGGCTGCTTTGTAGATTTTTCGATGTATTTCAAAAGCCGACTTTGATGTTTCATCAGGTTTCTTGCACCATTTATGTTCTAATCTCTTCTGCTCAAGTTTCATCTGATGTAATGCATTCGTGAACCACGGAAATCTATTCCGGCGAGGGATAGTATGTCTTTGAACTGCTAGGTTAGCAGAAACTGGAGCTAATAGCGGGAGCTCACCCTGCTCCCGGATTCAAACCAAATGTACATATATACACAGATAAAATGCAGGTTAAAATTACAACAACAACAATAATAGTAATAATTTGGTCTGACCTTGAATAAAGCAGCAACCAGTGTCCATGTTTCCCATTTTTCTCCGTAGGAATTTTGCCAAATCCAAAGGGCCACTAAGACACAAAGGGTTTCATGGGTATGAGATCCTCACATGCTATCCTCCAAGCCATCGGGTGTCTCTCCTTCCCTTGCAGCTATTCTGACAGCTGGAGCCCCAGATACAGCAGCATTTATGGCTGATGAAGTCCTGGAGTCCATCCCTGGCCTCAGCCCGGTCCAATACACCCTCAAGCACTACTTGCTCTACCTAGACAAAATCCAGAGTTGTGCTGAAAAGCTAAACAAAGGTAAGAAGGGAATGATATGACAGGATGTACAGAAGCCATCACTGTTCACTTTAGAGGGGACTTCCAGGAGCCAAAAGTATGAATATGCACAAAAATACACAAGCTGGGAAATCACCACACAGTGGCTTTGACCCCCTCAACACACTGTAGTATCCACACTCAGAGATAGGCTACACAAGTATTATACAGAATAGTATTACTCAACAATGTTGAAGTGACCAGGTTCTATTGCATAAATACATTTTGTAATTAATCATGTAGAATAGTCAGTGATATTGTGCAATGCACCTGTTAAATCACAGTCTTTAAATGCAGTGAGTAAAAATGCAATGGCAACATGCAGAGACACTGCATGGAGGAACAAGGCATGCAGGGTTGACAGCCAGAAAGTAGCTATTATCCCTTTTGGTTGACTTAGCTGTGTATTTCTTTGAAAAATCAACATATTGTCCACATTCCTCAGTTACACGATGCACAGCTTTCTGTCTTTATGAGGGGGCCAAAACACAGAATGTTTACTCAGTCAGCATTAAGGGGGTGTGTTTCCAACCTTTGTATACAAGACATCTTTTGTAATCAGGGGCAACCTGATTGTGCCATTTTTCATGGCTTTTTCAGTGGCTAGGAGAGAGGAAGTGTCATTTGTGTGCGTGAGAGAAGAAATGGAGGGTGGTTTTTGCTCTGCCCACCATTGTCAGATGAGACACCCCATGCCATAGGAATCCAGGGCACTTTGGCTCTGAAAGTGGAACAGGCTGGGCTAAGGTTTTCCCCGTTTCCTCAGCCGACACAGAGAAAACATGGACGCCTCATGGTGTGGAGCTGTGCCTGTGGGCTTGGGCTGTGGCAGACCGACTGCAGTTGCCCTCACTGCAGGCTCTGAGCCTGGAAAAAACGGAAGCGGGTCATGATGGTGGTGCAGAAATGCCCAGGAAGAAGCAGAGAACAGAATGAGAACCTCCAGGCTGCCATATGTTTTTACTCCTGTCCTCAATATGGATGTTGAAGCCAAATTGCACCCGAAAGCAGCACATTTCTTCCAAATCTAAGGAATGGTGAGGAGAAGTTGTAGTAATGGTGCCTGCGGAGCAGATGAGGTAACTGTTTAAAGCAAGAGTTGCCACGGTGCAACCTGGCAGAATTGGTCTGTCTGGAGAGGCACAAGACAAAGGCACACCTTCTTCCTCTTCCCCAAGAAAAAAAAATCCATAACATATCTTTTCAGCCATAATAGTAATAATGAATTCTGAACTTACAGGGTGATTTCCCCTTCCTTCATTTCTCACCCCCCCCCCCCCCCCCCCCCCCGTTCACAGAGAGAGAGAGAGGTCTTTGTTTCATTTTAGCCGGGTTCCAGCACCAAACACAAGCTCAGCACAACCTATAATTGTCCTTGGAAGATATCTTCAGGGCTCAGTCAGGGGGATTTAAAAAAAAACATTTTTCCAGTTTACCACTTCTATCCCTCCCTATAGCAGTTCCTTTTTTTCCCACGTTTATATTGAACAGGTAATAAGCTCAGGTAGGTGGGATTGTGATTTGGGGAGGGACAGTTGCAGGGAAAGTCCAGGGTAAGATGGGCTTAACCCTTTCGCCTAACCACCAGGTTTCTCTTGTAAGTCCCATCACTATATTTTTCCTCCCGATCTCATTCGGGAGAGTTTACTGGGCTGCAGGAGCATTGGAGAGATTTAGCAGGAGACATTAAGCATTGCCCACCATAAAAGCAGCCGTGGCCCAGCGTTCCCATTACCAGCTTGGAAAAAATAGGTTTGAGGAAGTTGTATTTGAAAAGATAGTCTCCAGTGGTACTGGATGTATAATTTCTACCGTTTCCACCTGGTTGCAGCATTTCCTTGCCATGTGGTACAAAATTTTGTTAAGTATTTTTACCTTGGTGTTTTGTCTGGGCACAAGTAACTCTGGTTCTTGGCAATTCTATGGAGTTTGCCTGTTAGAGAGCAGAAAGTATCTTTCTCAAAACAGGAAGGCTGTATCTTTCTTGTAGTTCAGTAATACAGAAACAGTCTGTACAACAACACTTCTTTTCTAGTCACAACAAATTCTTTGATATATCTCAAAAAAAAACAGCAACAATCCACCAGTCTTACAGCAAGGTTAACCCTCCAGGGGGAAATCTTACATCTGCTGCTCCCATTTCATACAACTATTGACAATCTACTATTATTACATTACTTCCTCCCTGCTGGCTGAGATTACTATGTGGTTGCATAAGAACATGAATTGCTTCGTGGTTACATCAATCACTGAGATTTGTCTAGTTGTCCTGACTTCGTAATTAATAATAAATATACTTTACTTATATATAAAACAAATTTGGATTGTATTTAAGTATGCTTAAAGTATGTCTTATTTCCCCACTTTCTTGTGTGCTTTATGCTTTGGCTCACTTTCTCTGGAGCTACTCCCTGGGTACCGCTAGGGGGAAGGCTTCTATTGCAAAAGCTCTTTCTTCCACCCATGTGGATTTTTCCCCATTGTCAGCATTCTCTATAATTGAGGTGGTGTCATCCTGTGTGGGGTTTTTTTTTTTTTTTTTTTTTTGTATTAATAATCTGAAATTTTTGCCCAGCTGGCCTTGGATTGCTTCTCCTGCAACTCTATAAAACACTAGCTACTAGCAGAACAGATTGGACCTAATCCCGCATTTGCTTATTAATAGCATAGAAAACTACTTAGGAAGCTATTAGCACCAAGATTTAAATATATTCTCTCACATGTATGACAGTATGTATGCATAGGGACACAAGCATGTCCTCAGGTCCATGTATAGTCCAGTGTTTCTCAACTTGGGGGGGGGGGTCGCAAGGGGGTTTCAGAGGAGTCACTATAGACCATCAGAAAACCTATACTTCTGATGGTCTTAGGAACCCCTTTGGCAGAGATGGCTGAAGATCTCGCTGTCTGTCCGTCTCTTCTTTTTTGGAAACAGACGGCAAATCCTCCCACTGAAGCCCTCCTCCGCTGTGATTGGCAGCCTCTCAGCTGCCTCTCAGCGAATGGGAGGGCTGTTTCTGAGACTCCAAGCAGGGAGGGGAGAACCGGCGTGCTTGGTGCATGGCAGCATGGTGCGCATGTGTGGGAGACGGAGAGTGTGCGAGGCTGGAGTGAGGCTAGCACCAGCGAGTCCCTTCAAGACATGGGGGTTCTGTGTAGGAAGTTTGGCCCTATTCTATCATTGGTGGGGTTCAGAATGTTCTTTGATTGTAAGTGAACTATAAATCCCTGCAATTACAACTCCCAAATTTCAAGATCTATTTTCCACAAACTCCAAAAGTGTTCACATTTGGCATATTGAGTATTTGTGTCAAGTTTGGTCCAGATCCATCATTGTTTGAGTCCACAGTGCTCTCTGGATGTAGGTGAACTACAACTCCAAACCTCAAGGTCAATGCCCACCAAACCTTTTTAGTAGTTTCCGATGCTCATGGGAATTCTCTGTGCCAAGTTTGGTTAAATTCCATTGTTGGTGGAATTCAGAATGCTCTTTGATTGTATGTTTACTATAAATCCCAGCATCAAAAATTTCCAAATAACAAAATCAATCTCCCACAACCCTACCAGTATTCAAATTTGGGCATATCATGTATTTGGGCCAAATTTGGTCCAGTGAATGAAAATACATCCTGCATATCAGATATTTACAATATGAATCGTAACAGTAGCAAAATTACAGTTATGAAGTAGCAATGGACATAATTTTATGGTTGTGGGTTACCATAACATGAGGAACTGTATTAAGGGGTCGCGGCATTAGGAAGGTTGAGAAACACTGGTATAGTCCAACAGAGAAGTGAAAATGTCTATCACAAATGACTGCTCCAGTACATAATTAAGGAAATCACCCCACTCCTTTCTTTGTTTATACAAATTTCTCCACCCTAGTCAAAAATATGACCTCTAACACACCAGTTTGGAATATAAAAAACAGTTTTTATAACACCAATGTGGACTTCAAATGCTTGTGACTCAAATCTGATTTTATAGCAAGTCTGTCCAGCAAAATGTATCTGCAGCCAAACCATGGGCTAGGTAGTATCCTGGGAGGGAATCACTTTGGCCCCAAGGGCTGAATTCAGTTTAAAAGAAGTTCTCAGGAGCCACGTCCCACTACTGGGGAGAGCCAAAGGCAAAAGGGCTACACCAAGAAAATATCTAGTCTATTTAATTGAAAAACTCCTGTCGCCAATAACTCCTAAGTGATGTAATGGCTGTAGAAACATATTCTAAAAGGCAGTGTATGTCCTCAAGACACTTACAACAATCTGATGCTCCCGTAACTACATTCTAAGGAATCCTGAGATTTGGTGTTCAGTGGAGACCCTAGATGCTTCTAGGAAACTCTAGCATGCTCGCCTTGACCACAGGCCCACTGACAACTCATGCCTGCCTTGCCAACATGACAAAGTATGGCATTCTTTCAGATTGAAGCTTAATGGTTAAACCCGTGTCTTACTGCAGCATAAATAACACTCTGAGTTGCAGGAGAGTTATTGCAGTCTTTTAGAATGGGAGAAGTGACTCATATGAGAACAGGGAAGCCCCTCAATGATTTTTGTTGCCAGGGGAAGGGGATGTGGCCTGCCCAGGGGGGCCCAAGGAGGAAGTCCTTGACCTTGGCTATAGGATGGGCCCTTAATTCAGACCCCAGTGGGTCCTGCTGTTTGTGTCTCCCTTTTAGAATAGGCCTCGGAATCCTTTGCACGACTTAGGAATTTCATGACAGATGTTCAAGGGATTCTGGGGCTGGGAGCGGGTGGGGAAGGGGGTTTGGAAGAGTTGCATAAAAAATCACCGGGAGGGTTGGCGCTAGGATGTGCCTCCTGTGGCCACTGAGCAAAGGAGGTTCCTCTGCTCATTCCTGGAGGCAACCCATCATCGCTCAAGGCTCTTCCCATCTTCTGTGGGGCATTTCCAGGAGTTGCCTTGCAGGACCACTAAGCAGAAAAACCAACTTAGTCATGTTGGCACAACTCTGGATCCATTCTCTAAAAATCTTACTCTTTTCTAGCTTGTAATCCACTTTGAATCTCAAGTTTGGATAAGAAAAATGGGACGTTTATAATTTGTGCCTGTGTGATTTTCTTTTGCTTGAACGTCTTCGTTTCCAATTAAGTAACATTCAAATGTACTGTATGTATAATTCTCATTTGCATGTTAGAGGAGTTTTAGGTATATATATATATCTCCAGTCCTTTCTTCTTTTTTTTTAATGTCAGGAGTGACTTGAGAAACTGCAAGTCACTTCTGGTGTGAGAGAATTGGCCGTCTACAAAGATGTTGCCCAGGGGAGTCCTGGATGATCTTTTAAAATGTTTTACCATCCGTGTGGGAGGCTCCCTCCAATGACATTGCAGATTATAATGAGCACCATGAACATGTACAAGAACCCTGCCAATGTCCACCAGAAACAACATGCTGCCCACCACCCAAGTGAAGGCTTTCATACGGGGACAATTTTCATCCTAGATTTTATGTGTTTCCTCCACCACAGACATCCCAGTATTTCTTACTCTCTTCATTGGCATGAAATTTGCATGACCCTGCCCACTGCCTCTCCCTTAACTCTTTCCTATTTTTTTTCTATGGCACACAGCAAACAGAGGAATTGATCAGCAACTGAACAAGCTAGAGAGAATTCACCATGATTTATAGGAGTTGTAGGTCCTGGGATGTATAGTTCACCTGCAATCTAAGGGCACTCTAATTCCACCAACAATTGGAACTAACTTGGCACACAGAACCCACATGACCAACAAAAAATACTGGAGTTCTTTGGAGGGATTTATATGAGTTGTAGTTCATCTACATCCAGAGTGCACTGCGAATCCAAACAATGACGGATCTGGACTAAACTTGGAATGCATACCCAATATGCTCAAATTTGAATACTGGTGGGTTTTGAGGGAAATTGGCCTGGACATTTTGGAGTTGTAGATACTGGGATTTGTAGTTCACCTGCAATCAATGAGCATTCTGAACTCCAGCAAAGATGGAACTTGGCTTACAGAGCCCTCATAGCCAGCAAAAAATACTGGAGGTCTTTGGGGAAAATTTACCTTGATTTGGGGGAGTTGTAGTTCACCTGCATCAAGAGAGCACTGTGAACCCAAACACCAATGGATCTGGACCAAACTTGGCACACATACCTGATACGTCACAATTTTATTGCTGGAGGGGTTTGGGCAGAGCTGACCTTCCTTTCTGGGAGTTGTAGTTCACCCACAACCAGAAACGGTGACCTCCACTGATGATGAACCTGGACCAAACTTAGCACACAGAACCCC